CGAAGACATTAATGCATATGAGCTCAAATCAGAGTGTTTTCATTTAAGACAGTATTTAAAGAATATATCAAAGGAATCAGCTGATTTGAGTAACTCAGTCCGACAGATTAGAAGAAACTTTTCCAAATGTTGAAGTGGTTAAAATAATGTTTCTCTGCCTAATGGTTACCAATTGCAGCGGAGAGCGCTCATTTTCAAAGTTAAAGCGAATAAAAAATGAATTACGAACATCAGCGTCACAAGAGCGACTAACGTATTTATTAATTATGTGTATAGAAAATGATATCCTTAAAAAAATTGACTTTGAAGATATAATAGAAGAATTTGCACAACAGAAATCCCGAAAAAAATCACTGTCGTAATTGTTCCTAACTGATTCAAACCATCAATTCAAAGATGCTTGTCTAATTAACATCCCATGTTTATATCTATTATACTTACTCGTAAATGTATCTATCTAATTAATATCTCTAATTATAGGTATATTTGATTGTTGCCAATAAATCATTTTAAGTAAAAGATCACAACTAAAAACATTTTCATCATTCATTTTGTTAACTGTCCAACAGGGCCCCTAATTCTTGTGTGCCCAGGGGTCTCGGCGTGGCCTAAGACGGCCTTGCGAAAAATGTGTAACAAGACTCATTTTGCAGCACTTTAGTTGACGCGACGACGGTGACGCGATCTTTGTCATATTTCATATATACGAGTATAGCAAACTTCTGCAAAAGGAACTTCGTTCCGACCGGGGGACCATAGACCCCTCACGCCACGCACGCAAATATTTTGTATAATTGTATTTATAGTACTTAAATAATATCCTCGCTAACAATAATCTTTGTTTTATTTAAATTATCATTACAAGAGAATAAACAGCTATTTTTGGAAGCTCCTGATCGCGCTCTGAGCGCATTTTTCCGCCACTTCTTGCAATACTACGCACGCACTTGCTTAGGTCTTTTTTTAAACAAAGCAACGGATTTTAATGTGCTTTTCACCAATAGAGAGAGTGATTCAAGAGAAAGGTTTATATGCATAATACATGCATATTATAGTAGAGAAAATCCGAGAGTTTTATAGATTTGTGATAAAAACATGTTTTTGTGTGCTTACATTGCAAACGCTGGCTAAACCTTGCGAGATAGACCAAAATAATGGAATTGTTTTACTTAAAAAGATTTACAAAAAAGTCCGCGATGGTATAATATATGTCTATCGTTAGGAATAAACCACAGTAATCATTTTTATCTTTTAAATTTTACAAAAAGAATTTGGCTTATCCAATTAAATACGTTAGATACGTTGTTAAAAAGATTAAAATTGCTTTTTAGTAAATATTTTAGAAGATACCAGAGATTAAAATTCTGGGCAAAGTGGCCGTCGCACAATGATTCGGGTAGAACATGCTAGCGGGGCAATATTTATGACATAATTTCCAGGAACCACTGATAACGACTTGTAAGTAACCCAGGTAACGAATTCCAAGAATTAATTTGTTTATCATCTCATAAAGATATCTTATAAGGGGATCAAAGTAACCATTATAAGAGAGGTCATTTTCATTTGCAAATCAGTTGCATTTTATGCACACTTGTGATAACATATATTTTAAAATTGGTAGCAAAGTGAAACCAGTTTTTTGGGATGGAATATTCTGTTGAACTGTATGACTTATATTTTTATAAAAAATATGTATACTTTTGGTGTAATATCAATTTGTAAATGTATAGATAAACCCAGCAAATTTTACATTAATTGTACTAACTTTACTTTAAGCGACTTTAAGCGAAACTCGGATCTGGAAAAAGCCAAGACCTTCCTCTACTTTATATTGCCGTCCTATTAAGTTTATTTCTGCCAAGGAGATAGAAAAGATTACGAAAGAAGAAACTTCTAAAATTTTAAATGAAGTAAGTCAGCTTCTTCGAACATTATGTAACGTTACTGGATCTCAAATCTCTGTTAAACACGATTTGTTTTTGACAATGGCAAAGTGCGCAATGCCTTAACGGACACAAGTTTAACACAAAAGTTTTATATTTGCGGTGCCAGCCCGGCTACTATGAGCGAGGAGTGAAAGAAAGGAAGAACGCCTTGCATTTGGTTTATCTACTTAACATGCATGGATCCGCACGTTAGATGTTTGTTTCACATCAGCTATCGTTTAGAAATAAAAAAGTGGTAAGTCAGGGGAGATAATGACAAAGCCATTGTGAAGCAACGCTCACAAGAGATACAAAGAGTTTAAAGATCGTATGGGTCTCATTGTAGATTAACCAAAACCTGGGTATAGTAATACAATCGATGGCAACGAAGCACGTAGATTTTTTTCCAAAGCTGAATTGAACAGCGAAATCACAGGATTAGACGTCAACGTTTTTCGTAGATTTTATGTAATTTTAAGAACTTTGTCATCGGGATATGACATAAATTATATAGAATTCGAAAAGTTTTGTGTTGATACTAGAAAATTATACCTTGATCTGTATTCGTGGTATTCCATGCCCGTTACTGTGCATAAAATTTTTGTACACAGCGTGGAAGTTATAATGTATTTTCTTCTTCCCATCGGACGACTCTCTGAAGAAGCCCAGGAGGCAAGAAATAAAGACTGTCGTAGATTCCGTGAACGGAACACCAGGAAGCGGTCACGTATTGCCACAAATACAGAACTTTTGAGAAAATTACGTCTGATCCTGTTATCAACTCGTATAGAGAATTACCGCTAAGAAAATTTACTTCTTTGCCATCGGAGGTTCTGCAGTTGATTATCCCACCTTCATTGCCATCCGAAACACCATCAGTAAGTCATCATAACGAATTAAATGAGGAGTATTATCTACTCTCTGCATATTCTAGTGAATGGCAGAACGGCTCTGCCATTCACTAGAATATTCAGAGATGACGACTCATCTGATAGTGATTACTCGTAGTAGGTTTACGTATTTTTTATTGTAATTATTATTCTTATTTTATTGTGTGTTATAGCTGCCATGCCTTAGTATATAAGTTATTTAATATTATATTTCTTCTACTTATACACTTTGTTATTGGAAATAATTGATATATAGAGACTGTTACTGTACTAATTTATTCTAAAAGATATAATATTTTGTAAATTAATAAATGTGAGTACTATCATTATGATTTTTATTTTTTTCCTAGAAATTTCTTCGTACACACAATCACAATCATGTTTGTTCACAAAGAAATTTCTTGACACTTATAATTGTGGTATAGTCAGTGTCAGTCAAAAAGTAATGACAGTTAATGTCAAAGAAGCTACAAGAGGTTTCCCCCGCGCAGTAGTATTAACTGATTTTGGTGTTTTCCACTGATTGAAATCAAAAGTATAAACCTTTATTATAACCAAAAATAAAGAGTAAAATTAATTGGTGCGTTTCACTATAAGACAAATTATTTGACTGACACTGACTATACCACAATAATGAGTAGGTAGACGTAGCTAATTAAAGAACAATTAGCGACAATAGTGAGCAAATGATATTTCGATTAATACACATACAGTACACATTTTTCAATTTTTTTTTCTTAAAATAGCTTAAGATACCTGGAATATACATAAACAAGTGAAATAATTGAAGAAATAATATTGTCCCGCTAGCTTGTCCTAGTCGAGACACTGTGCGTCGCCGCGTTCGCTGTCGGGCTGTACCTGTACGTCCGTCCCGGGTGGCGGGCGGAGCGGTATAATTACTAGCGATCCGCTTCAGCTTCACACGGGTGCAATGTACTTAGATGCTACTAATACTCCTTATATGGTGTCAGTGTGGAGTAATGAATTAGACTATTATTATGATAGGGCTATATCACAGGACGTCTTTATATGCAATATTTATAGGCCCGCTCCGATCCTGCCGCCACTGCCACACGGGACGATTAAAATTGTTACTATGGGTTATCCTTAGGAGGAGGAGGATTTTTGTAGTATATAGTAATAACTAATAGCAGCTATGAAAGTCGATTATCAACCCACCGTGAGCCGGAGCGGAACATAAGTATTTAATACAATAGTTAGTTTAATACAATATTACAATAGTTAGTAGTACAAAATAATTTAATACAATAAGCAATAAATCGAAAACCGTTAAGATGTAAGAAAACACGTACCTAATTACTTATTCTATACTAGTAAGAGATAAACTATGTCATTAGCGGCAAGGACGCCATATATAGCCCCCTTAATTATGAGAAAGAGGTTGTGTGAAATCACGAGTAGGTATTACAAATAAATAATTAATAGCCTTCTCGCTAATGATGACATCAGTGCCTGTATCACACACAATACTTTAATCAAATGCTAGCAAAATTAAAACTATCTTATTTTCGGATTCTGTTGTTATTACTATTTCGTCCCCTTCTTGCCCTTACAAATAATGTCAATTTGATTATCTGTGTTACCATCTAAAGGATTTTCTTCTAAAACTTGGAGCCTAAATCTGTTAAAACATTATTAGTTACATTAAAATTAATATTACACGAAAAAACTGTAAAATAACAAATCACGAAAAACTTAAAACAAATCCGTCTTTCCAGCGTGCTATAGTAGACCAAAACCTCCTAAGGAGAGACAGTTTAAACAAATTTTTTAAATGAAAGAAATCTTTGAAAGTTCGTACCAAAAATAAATTAAATGCAGTGTTTTTTTTGCCTTAATTTGACATTTCCCACGTATTAATTAGGGGTAATTAATGTAAAAACAAAAAGGTGTTGGCAACACATTTTGACAAGTAGCAATATGTCAAACGTCAGTTTGATAATGATCGAGTGGATACGTACAGTTGTCGAAAATGTGCTTTATTTTTGAATTATGCAACGATTTTAAATTATTTTTAAAACCTCATACCTAAATAAAAAAAATCTCCAACAATTTGTTAAATACGTTTATTTGTTGTATTAATTGAAGTAATAAACTGTTACGTGAGCACAAATTAAAAGGTTTAAACGAATTGTTAGATTTGTGTTAGTGTTTTATAAAAATGTCTTTAATAATAAATGTAAGGAGACAATTTATAAACGGTGTTCGAAAATTGAAGTGTGGTTTAACACATGGTAATCAAAAATTCTGCTCTGAAGATATATTACGCAGATGTTATTCTACTCGTGAATTATTGAAAGAGGCTTATTGTCGCACAAGGCTTAAATTCAAATGTAAGTGTATGTTGTGTGTATGTATAAGTTATGCAGTAAATGATCTGTCGTAATTTGAATATTAATTTTCTTATTATAGCTAAAAAGTTGCCTCAAGATGTAAATCCACAGGGTGTGTTTGCATGTAATGAATTAGATCTATCTGAAGTGAAAGTATATGGGTTCGACTACGATTACACATTGGCGCACTATAAACCCACACTTGAACACTTACTATATAATCTTGGTAGAGAAATTCTATTGGAAAAATATAAGGTTTGTAATGGATGATCAATTAGTTTTGTTTTTATTATGACAAAATTTGGCAGTGTGATCACTATAATTAGATTTTTTTTTGTAATTGATTATGAAAAAGTTTTCAAACTTAAAATGTAAAATATAATTTAGCATACTAAATTTTTTTCATAATTGAAAAAGCAGTGGAAGCGTGCTGGGCCCATAGCCTATTAAAATATGTTGCTTTTCTGTGATAGACTGACTTTATTTTTCTAGTAAGTACACATAGTATTGAATAGACAGCATCAGGTACACATTAAATGTTTTTTATTATCTATATTTTAATAAAGTTATATATTAAAACTGCAATGATATTATTTAAATGTTTGTTTACAGTACCCACCAGAGATATTACAGTTAGAATATAAACCAAATTTTGCTGTGAGAGGCTTGCACTATGATATTGAGAAGGGTTTACTGTTGAAGTTGGATTCTTTCCTTCAAATACAGTTTGGTTCTGTGTACCGAGGTCTCACACAGGTCTCTGCTGATGAAGTACTCCAGTTATATAGAAATAGGATTATACCTATTGCTTATGTGGAGGGTGATACAAGAGCACACAAGGTATATAATCCTTGTTTTTTTTTCTGTTAATTTATTTTATATAAATCAATAGACAAGAATTCAAGAAATGTGGTACATAAATGAAACAGTGGAATATGATGCAATAATTCTAAAAGTATTGTACTATTAAGCATTGCTATACCCACCAATATCAGTATTATATTTTAAATTAACTTTTTTGGTTTAGGACTACAGAACAATTTTTTCGAGAATAAGAGCAAATGTATAAAGCATGTGCATCAATATGAAATTTAATTACTGCATCACAAGATATGAGTATATGCTACTATACTAACAAGTAAAATTCCTATTAACTGAAATCTATTAATCAATTCCATACATTAACCGTATTGAGTTAAGATTGCAAATTATTCGTAGAGTAGGACTAGGCTAGACAGTGTCTGTCGGTAATCACTGGCACTTGTAGGCAATCATTCATTTGTACTCCCCTTGTGTTATGTTGATACAAGGACCTTGTTTGACTCAATATAATAGCATTATAGTTATTGTCTATGACATGTACTGCTGTTTGTATTCTGAAAACTATGAACTACTTATCTATGAAGAATTTCATTGAATATTGAAATAATGTATTGTTGTCATAAGTAGTTGTTATTAGAACTACTAGATTTGTTTACCTTTTTCTTTGAATAGGCAATAGCTTTAGTACTATGTGTGTTATTATGTTCATGCTAGTTATTGTATTAAGGCTTATATTTTTTTTAAATAGTCAGACAGGGAGTTTTATAATGTCCATGTCCCCTGGATGGGGCTGAGGACCTCCTCAAGTAAGATTCTAATACTACCAAATTTCTTTCAGCCAAACAGAGCAAAGATGGTACATTTAGCTGATTTATTTTCTGTACCAGAGATGGGTTTACTGTGTAATGTTGCAGAGTATTTCATTAAAAATCAAATAGATTATCATCCAGAAATTCTGTTTTTGGATGTTAAAGTAAGTCATATTTATATTTACAGTTACTGTTCTTTTTTGTTTATTTCATGTGTAATGAGTAGGACCTATTTTTAGGATATATTTTAACATAACTGTGATTGTTCAAAATCGGGAATCATCTCATTTTTTCAGTCTCAAAAAATGGTAATATATCTTTAATTGATTCCTTAAAGTTTAACCACCACTCTGAAACATCTTGACTAGATTGCCGGTCCCTATATAAAGCAAAATATCAAAACTCGTGGTTTTGAAGTTTGTTACTTTGAAAAAAAAACACAAAAATGATTTTATTTTCGATTGCCAAAATGTAGTACTTGACAAAGGTAGTATTTGATAGTGATACTTTCAACCAAACTTTTTCCTCGTACAATCAAAGTTTGGTTTGAGATTGATATGTGGAACAAATTATCGCCTGCGGAATTTGCGATCTGATACGAACTTCGACCCTAAAAAAAAAACAACTTTGCATTTCTAATTCTAGAGTTGTAGATGTCCATAGGAGACGCAATAGTTACTGACCAACAGGTTACTCATCTGTTTGTTTACCACATGTATCATAAAAAAAAATGACTCAGAGAAGGCACATTCCGTTTTATGAGAGACGTAAGACTAACCATAGCACAGTGTTAATTAGAATATAAGAAATCTCTTCTTAATTTTTTGTGCCGTAACCATTACTTCAGTCCTTTTCATTATGGTTTCATTAACCATATTTGTTGTAGAATTCAGTTCAAAGTAGTCACCCTATCATGCATAAGATAGTTGCTCAAAATGTGGAAGAATATATAAGGCCGAATGGACATCTGAGGCATTACTTCAAAATGTTACAGGATAATGATAAGAAACTATTCCTTGTTACCAACAGCCCTTATCATTTTGTGTGAGTAACTAATAGTTTATTTAAATATTATTCAGTAGAGTCATTTGTTTGTAGTGTGTATATTTACTTTAATGATAATATAGTACAAGTTAATCATTTATTGCAGAAATATTTTCAGCGCGCCTATTATGTAACTTTACGGTCTTAATTTTAACGGTGGGCCAGCTATGCACGGCACGGGCCGGCTCGCCGGTCTCACAGAAAACTGGGGTTTAGCAATAATTTCGTTGCATTTGTGACTCTTGGGGCCGGCACTTGTCGCCTAAATGGAGAATATACCCGAAGATGGTGCCCGCGCCACTGTGGGCAGGCGCTAGGAGGGGTCCGGATGTCTTAATTACTGCAGTTCCCGGACCCATCCTATCACAGGCGCAGAGTGGAACACCGTCTAGTTTTAGTCAGTCAGAATCGGACACAACACTCTTTTTTTTTTTTTTTTTTTTCCGTGCGGAAATCCCCTCGGATACCACCTGTCGGTGGCATGTCGGACTCGAACCGACTAAAACCGCACGCCGTCTCGGGTACTAATAGCCGGGGAACCAGGTATACCCTAGAAAGGAAGTCCCTGGTGCCCCGACATACCTCGGGTCATCTACAGACGAGCAGACGACCCCCCCCCCTGTGTGGGAACCCCATGTTCCCTGTGCTTCCTGGAAGCGAGCGCGCTTCGCAACGCGCTGGCCGCCACCCCGGCCTGCTTCTGCTAGGGTGATAGATGGCCTCACCTCGGTACCTGGCGGGCTGGGAGAGTCCTAAACCTCTCCCGGTCCCGCTCCGCCGTCTCCGTCGCGAGCATAACTTGCTCGCAGAAGGAGACGGCAGAGTTCCACGCACTCTCGCTCCGCACGATAGCCGCAATCAGGCTATCGAGCGAGAGAACTCCCACTCCGATGGCCGCCACGAGGTCTCGCCTCTGCTCAACCCACGCCGGGGACTCTGCCAGCCGGACACACCACCCTGCCGAAAACCTCGGTGGGGTGACGGACCAAAGGGGTTTCCACACGTAAAAAAAAAGCGCTGTAGCGTTGAATTTCAAACGAACTTAGTTTTAAGGTTGACGCCGTGGCAGAGCTGTTTCCTTAGAGAATAGCACTGCTGGTGTCAATGGGCAGCGGTATTAACCATCCGGTTTTTACCATCAGGTAACCTGTTTACCCCCTGGCACGTAAAAAATTAAAATGATGGATATTAATCAGAATTACCTACACGTCAAATCTACTTTACGAATAAATTTTGCGACATGACAACCTCTCATACCGGCTACCTCAAATATACTTTGAGCGCTTGCCTAAAGCGCGGCAGACAAAGCAGACCCAAGAAGGCGGCACGGCGAGCCCTACGCTCGCCTTTTCTATATTAGTGACCCTTGCCATAAGAGGGTCGCCTTGTATCATTAGGCGACCTACTCTTACGGGGTTCACAAGGATTACTTTTCTAAGATACAATGGCCTGGAGCGCGGCAATGAGACCAGAGGGTCAAGTGCGAGTTTATTTCATATCAACTCGCTCTCGACAGCGAGCGCGTTGCAGCGCTAAACGCGGTCACCGTGACGATCGAAGAGATGTGAAATAAACTCACACTTGGCCTTTAGATGGTCTAGTGCAAGTTTATTTCACATCAACTCGATCTCGACTACGATCGAGTTCGTCGTTGCGATATGTGAAATAAATTCGCACTGGGCCCCTTGGTGACGGTACACTCTGTGGATTTAGTCGGTCCATTACCAGCCCCCTACACATATTAAACTCGTAGCAAATAATTGTGGGATTCTGACAACCATTGTCAGAACATACATATTTTCCATAGGTTTATCTCAGAATATATGCCTATTTGTGGTAGGTACTGTCCATTTTTTATAAACATAAAGTTAGTCAAGGCTGTATTGGTATTGGGTGTGGGCTTCGGTTCCGCATTTAGACTCAAGAGTGGTCCTTTATGCGTCGAGGACAAGGCGAGGAGGCAAGGAGTGAGTCAAAGGCGTTCACAGGCTTCTAGGAACGATTTTGTATCAGGAATGATGTGTGGTTACTCCCTCGCATTCCTGGATTACGCTAGTGATATGTTCATATTTAGGTCCGTCGTAGAAAACTCCGGCCCCATTTCCTGACAAAGTCTTGGAAACGTCCGTGTAAATTCGGACTTCGTTAATGTTGGATTGATCTCGGTCATTTTCTTGTATCTGCATCTGGTATCTTTTTGTGAAGATATGGTGTTTTGGGATTCTATCGGATGGGGCTGCTTTTAGTGGTTCGTAGACAAGACTGTGCAGAACAACTATTGTAATTTTAAAAATTAATTTATTAAATCAAGAAGCCTTTCACTCAACGTTACTTTTTACGCATAACACGTAAGTAGTTAGAAATCTGAATAACCGGTAAATTATGTAAATTTATAGGTTACTTGAGTTCTTTCTAGCACACACTTTTTTTGCTTTGTTTTGTATGCCTGTATGTTTGTAGGTATGTGTACGACATCCTGGTATTTTAATCCATGAATGTGATGATCAAAAAGAAAAGAAAGTTTAGGCAATAGATAATCTGGAAATGGAATTAATTCATATTATGACTTCATAAGTAAGGATTTTTTTAATTTTGCAAAATTGCAACTAATTACGCTTTCACTTAACTCATGATTAATAGACGACATGGAGGTGTAGCGTTTTCATAAATTTACGCGCGTAAATTTAAAACAAAATTCCAAATTCATTTTATTGTCATTCATCGATTGAACAAAATTTTAGGAAAGTTACTTTCTGTTGTATACCATTACTATATGATCAAAGGAAATTATTTCACTAATTTTTAATAGTATTCCTAAGGCCAAGAACAAGATTCGTACGAATGGAAGTTCGCCGCCTCTACATGGCCGTCGTGTGATCCATGGCTCTCTATGTGGCTCCCGTCTGGTCTAATGACCTGGCGGGTGTCGCCCGCTGCAAGGCTCTACTCAGAAACCTGCAGCGGTTGAAGGCCATACGGATTGTACTGGGCTATTGTACGATCTCGTTTGAGGCGGCGACGGCGATAGGTCGCTAGCTCCCCAATCGCTGCCTAAGGGTCGCTGCAGGTACATCTTGGGTTGGTGTGACCATTGCAAACGACCCGAGACCGGTGACACTCGGGTGCGGCCAGGGGGGGTGTCGTCTAAGGTCGGGCGCTGTTGCGCCTCTTAATGTGTAGAGCAGTGAGGGGCGCGGCAGCATCCCGCCCTAGGTCCAAGGTCATGGTTACCCTGGGATGTCCATAAACGTGGGGTACGGCAGGAAGCCCTCTAAAAGCCGCCGATGTGTTCCTGGAGCTCCTCACGTGGGGTTTAGTGGGTAGACCGGTTCTCCGGGAGTTCCACACACGTCCTCCGTTTCCCCAACAGAGAGTATGGTGCGAAAAGCATTCCCAGCGTTAAAAATAAAAATAGGCTGCATTGGGCCTGTTGGTCTAATGGTTAGTGGCCCTGACTGCTAAGCCGGAGGTCGTGGGTTTGATTCCCACCCAGGACAAATATTGTGTGATGAGCACGGTTATTTGTTATGTGTCTGGGTGTAATTTATCTATAATATGCATGTATTTAAAACTATATAAGTATGTTTATCAGCAGTCTGGTTACCATAGCACGGGCTCTGCCTAGTTTGGGATCAGACGGCCGTGTGTGAGATGTGTAAAATTATTATTATTATTATTGCCACATGACAGGACATGGTGCATCTCCAGGAATATCTTAGATTATTATCAATGATTAAACCGTTTTGTATAGCTGACAAGATTCTTTACTTATTTAGAAATATCTCACGAACGAAGATAATTTTAATTTGCCAGGGGCGCTGGTATGGAGATGCTAGTTGGTCACGATTGGCGGGACTTCTTCGACGTTGTGATCGTAAATGCAAATAAACCAACGTTCTTCACTGAGGTGTCGCGACCGATACGAGTCTTTGACAAGAATGCCAATACGCATATTTGGGAGAAAGTTACTTCGTTAGAAAAAGGAACTATTTATTATGAGGTTGGTTTTAATATAATTTTAACATATGTATACAAAATCTTAACCCATTCAGACAGGCCTGTTGGTCTAGTGGTTAGTGACCCTGACTGCTAAGCCGGAGTTCGTGGGTCCCACCTAGGACAAATATTGATGATCACGGTCATTTGTTCTCTGTCTTGGTGTAATTTATCCATAGTATGTATCAGCAGTCTGGTAACCGTCGTACAGGCTCTGCCTTGTTTTGCGATCAGACGGCCGTGTATGAGATGTGTGAAATATTATTATTATTATTTCATTAAAGCATCGTAATGTATGTGTTCTAAAATAAAAACAGCTAATATATGGACATTATATATTTCTATATATTAGTTGTTAATTTTATATTGCAAAAGGATATGACATGTGAAATCGTTGTATTATACTAGTGAGGTAAATACATTCGCGAACAGACCTCGTGTTCTAGTTTGCCTTGATTGCGACATAATCGTAGTGATTATCATGCCCTTGACCCCGAAGAAAATGCATGCTAGCCTTAAAATTTATGCACGCTTGTTTTGCCTGCCAAATAAATGTATTTAATGTTTTATAAGCAATAATGCGGTATAAATAAATTTCCAGGGTACAGTCAAACAGCTGCAAGATCTGACAGGATGGTATGGTCACCAGGTTTTATACTTTGGTGATCACCCGTACAGCGACCTCGCTGATGTCACTCTCGAACATGGCTGGCGCACGGGAGCTATTATTAACGAGTTGACGGTAGGACTCTAACTTTTTATACGCCGCAAAAAGATAGTTATAGCCGTAGGTATAACCGTAGTATTAGTAGCCGTAGGTATAGCCGTAGGATATCCCTAGTAATATAATTATACACCTTGTAGGATGTCCTGGTAAGATAGTTACATGAAAGCGGGTTATAACTATCTCATAATAATTATTATGCAGGACGACTATGATACGCGTACTTACTAGAGTAATTTAGATAAATAATTATGAATTTATATTTTGTATTATTGCATTATCTTTATAAAAAAAAACAGTTTCGTGCACAGTGGAGTGTGTAACTGTTTTCAATTAATTTAAAAAAAACATGTGAAAACGATTACAAAAACATTTAGGCAGGCATATATATATTTACATCATGGTTATAACTTTTTGACTGTGACAACTATACAACAACAACAAAAAAACTCAATTGAAACGACGTGGTTTCGATTTCCACGAAAAACAAATAATATTTGTGTGATGATCACGATTATTTGTTCTGTATTTGGATGTAATTTATGTATAATATATATGTATTTCGAAATATATAAGTATGTTTATCAGCAGTCTGATTACCATAGCACAGGCTCTGGTAAGGCAAATGAAAATCTGCCTAGTTTGAGGTCAGCCCCAAACTATGTAGATTTCCATTTACCGATATTTTATAAGTGACCACATCAATGCACTGAGCTATTTAAAGATCCATTTTGTATAGTACTTTAACAAGTAAAGTACCCACGCTTTACAGAATCATGCGCAATGTTATCACGGCGATCAATCTTACGAAAATGTAATATAGACTGTTAGTTTTTAGTATTAGCTTGATAACGTATAATGGATTTCATTACACTGATAAGACGACTGTACATAACACTATTTCTACATTATGAGCATGTTTCTGAGTTATATTATCTAATATGTTTTGTTCAATATTTTCAGCACGAAATCAATACATTGAATACCCAGTCTTTCAAGGAGAACGCTAATTGGCTGCAGATGCTCACCCAGCTTATTGAGGACCACCAGGATTATAAGGATCCTGAGGCGTTAGAGGTTCTTAATGAATGGATGGCTGAGAGGGATTACCTAAGGTTTGATTCCCTTTATTACTAATCTGATACAATCAATAAAACAGTACTAAATAATTATACATACTTCCGTTTACGTTTCAACTCGCGAGGTACAGAAATATTAATAATAATACGTCACACATCCACACACGGCCGTCTGATCCCAAACTAGGCAGAGCCTGTGCTATGTTAACCAAACTGCTGATAAACATACTTATATATATTTAAATACATACATGTTATAGATAAATTAAACCCAGACACAGACTATAAAAAATATATCTAAAGACTATCGAAGTACGCAATAAAGTCAAAAATAATTTTGCACAGCTGTTTGTTTTAGTAAATATTTGTCTGACGTAAACGAAAAGTTGTCATATGTTAATCCGCACAATATGTCAATACGCACAATAATCATAAATATTGTGTGTAAGTACTTAAGACGTTTTACTGCGCTTTCACTTTGTTTTTTGGTAAGTGTAAATAAACATTATACTGAGCCAACATCACTTTACATTAATGGGACAATTACACAAATAAAGGGTATTGACATTTTTTATACAGCGTCACATACTGGAGAGTGAAAAACTAATTTGTTACGTCACAATTTTGGCAAACGTTTGCATTTACTCCCACAAAATGCGTCGCTCTCGCTTCTTGAAATAGTCAGTAGCAGAATAATTTTGGTCTAGATTAAAAACATTCAGTATGGATATATCTATGTAAAGGAACATAACACTTGTACATTAACTACATTTGATCCATTACGCACACACACAAACGGTATGCGATTTGCGAAAAATGCGTAAAGTATACGCCAATGTCTTGATGTCGCATCACTTTAGCTATGAGTTTAACTCGCATGTATATATAACAAAAGCTCGTACTCATGATTTTTCAACATTTTAATTTAGATATTTATACGAAAACCACTTGATTTAGTTAGCATTGAAATACATGTGTGTAAAACAATGAATCCTTTCGTCCTAGATTTATTGACACAATTTCTAATAACAAATCTAATACTAGTAAAATAACAATTTTATGTATTGCTGATATTTTATTTTAATACAATAATAAAATACAATACTAAAACCTAAACGTATGAAGGTCATTCAAAAGTTTTCACAGTAAGTTTAAACATGATAAACATATAATTAAATAGTATTCAACATTTCTGTACTGTAAAAATCATTTACAGAACGTGTTATCATTCCTTAGCATAGTAAATAAATACCATAGCGCTATAATTATAAATAGTATATTGCTGGGCTACTATATTAAGGTAAAGAAAACTGTGTAGGGACGCTTGTTTGAGAATTTAACTATATCATCGGGGTGCAACGTCAAGAAACTTTGGGTAATACTTACCCAGTTTCGGATAATATGTACACTACTTACATATTTCGGATGCTACTTTTACTCCTCGCCTGATGGGCTTACCCATAGAATAGAATGCTTGGCAGAGAAAGTATTTGTTGGGGAATGTTAAAGGCTATGTAATATCACGATACGCTACTAACGGCTAGTATTTTGTATATGTAGCGAGCCCTTGAAAACCCTTTTGCTACTAAAGATGCCATATTTTTGAAGTTACTGCATCTATTTGATGGCCGTCCAATCAGAGGACCGACAAGTTAGTCTGTGACAGTACAGATTTAGCTCCAATGTCCCATCCGAGCAGTACATTTTAGTCCCAATGTCCCATCCGAGCAGTACATTTTGGTCCCAATGTCCCATCCGAGCCTCGCGCTATCCATTACCCTAGCTCTGTCTCCCTAACTGTATTCCTTACCTCACATTAATTTGGGCCTATCCGAAAACGATTTAATTCCCAAGGAGTGTTGACGTGTTGTGTCCATGTTACGCATTGTGACGACCTTAAATATATTTGGGAAAGGGACAGAATGATTCTTAAAGTAATATTTGCCTTTAAAATAAGTGTGCTGTGTATAATATTGATTGAATGTGTTTGCTGTAAGTAACGCTTCTCTTTATTTTCATGCTTCCATTGTAGGAGTTTTACTATCCCTTCCAGGAACGAAATAAAGGCTGTGTTTAATCCACAATTCGGTAGCGTATTCCGAACGTACCACAACCCGACTTACTTCTCGAGACGACTATTCCGCTTCGCTGATGTCTACACGTCCAACATTACTAATCTGATGAACTACTCCCTCACGCACACCTTCTACCCTCGTCGAGGTGTCATGCCACACGAATACGGGTCGTATTTCGTCTAGATTTAAGTTTAATTTTGCTGTAATTAGTACAAATAACTAAATGTAAGTCTAAAATCATTTATTTATAAACAGCATTTGTGTACTAAATCATCTTTATTGATATCTAAAAGCTTTGTAATCTTTTATCTCTTCTCTTTCTTCTCGATCTTTTAACATGTATTTTGAAATCTGTATAATATATCCTTTCATATTTCTTTTACGAGTAGGTCGTCAATTAAGTAGTGTAATTATGAAAATAAGGTTAATATTATAATAAAAACTTTGGTGAGCGATGTTCATACTCATTAAAGATATTCGGTTTTTACCATGTGTGAATTTCGGACCATACAGTAGTGTTTTTTTCAATTGCTATCGCAACGGAAACAGCCGTTTGTCGCAAACTTCAAAAGACAAAGCGACGCGTAGTGGAGCATCCCCGAAATACACACTTAATTAAAACTGTATACATTTAATAAACAAGGCTAAAATATCAAGGTATTTGTAGGTATCATAATACATCAAAGGACTAGTCAGAGATATTTAATATCGTTTGTATAGATTTATTTATTTGCCTTTTTGTTTTTATTCACTATGAAACGTATACTATTGTAAATTTTCTCATTGAATTGTAAATCCACTATGGTAACATTATTCTCATAATATATTGTTAAAAAGACCTATCACAGTTGTTGTTGGCACATACATATATGTGTACTGTCTTACTAGCTGTGCTACTTAAAAAGTAATGAAAATTTATCTCTTTCACTTATATCATTTATTGACATTATAGTGTTTCTTTAGAAAATTTTAATATATTTCAATGAATCGTTAAAACTTATATCTTATTGATAGCAACAACTTTCTCTATAAATATATTGTTTTGTTTTGCATTTAATAAAATTTACTACTGCAAAATTATATTAAATGTAAAAATATATTTAGGTTAGAAACTTAACTCACCAGTTAATGAATTATCTGACTTCTAGATGTAAACAGACAAGAGGCATGTATAGTTCTATTACTTTTTTATCTAAAGTTCAACCGCCTTTCTTATGGACGTCAAATAAAGACACGCAACTAGCAGTTTCATAATTAATATATTAAACTACAATAAAATAGATTTTCTATGTTATTTGTTGACAAGGTGACAGGTGTTCATAACGCACAAAGAGTTGGTATTCTAAGCACCACAAACCAAAAAGATCGATCTGTTAATCACACTTTGCCTCGTCGCGCTTGTTGATATCGGTATAGCGTTTTATTAGTAAACTAGCTTAATATAATGTCTGATACTTAGAGTAACATGGCCATAATAAATTGTCTACACATCCTAAGAGTGAGAGTAGATACACAAAATATCAAAAAGTAAAAAGAGGCAGAACAATCTGTTTTTTTAACTCCTGTACATTTGTGCGTATTTGTGATATTTGTACCAGTATTTGTGTAGAAAAGGAGATAAATTTTGGCCTGCCGTGGGAAGTTGTAGGTTATTTTATATTGTAACCCACTCGCTAATCTTATCTCTATAAAGTCTTAGACTAGGCTGCTTGTTATTTAACTCTACTACGTATTATTGAGAATATCAAGATCCCGAATTTAGGAGTGTTTAGGTTTATCATTGCTTTTTGTATTTTTTTGTAGGCAGCCATACTCGTTTCTTACTTAACTGCCTTAAGATAATACAAATATCATAATATATCGTTAAAGTATTTTATAACATTATAAGTGTTTCTCAAATAGCTTGTTACGGGTTGAATTGTTTATTTCTAATATCGCTTATATTGTATTTGTAGATATCAGTTTGTATTGCTCATGTATTATAATCACTAAAGGTTAAGGCATAAGATGATCTTATTATCTTTCTTCGAGTTATATTATTATTTATAAGCATTCTGGTAACCATATTCACAGATAAGTGAAATGTAATAAATGCTAGTCTTTTTTTCCTTATAATACTTTATATAAGTCGTTTTAGGAGAGTTGATAAAACGATGCTATTTTATTCTTTACTTGTTTTTAAACAAGTCATATCAAATAAGATGGCACTAATATAATTTTCTTGTTATTGGGTCCACCCAATAACAAGAAAATTATATTAGTGCCATTAGTGCCATGAAAGTTTTGCAAAATGGTCATGTTCCAACATGACCATTTTGCAAAACTTTAAGGCATATATCGTTTTTAATATCGTTCATGTTATTTATTAGTTTAATATTATACCTTAAACTGAACCCAGTTCTTTTTAAACTGTTTTTATTTTTTAATAAATATTTTATTCTAAGAATTTATCACTCGCTGGACTCGAATCGTTGCTGGCATCCGATTCATATTTCTTAAACCTTATTATCATAATACTTATATTACTTATTCTATTTTTACGTAGTATAAAGAATTAATTAGAATTGCAATAAGAACGATTGGCGCTTATGTTATTTGAGGTTAATGATCATAAAACATATATTGGTACATACGCTTAGGTTACTCATCTGTTCTCGTGCTGGCAAATTTACTGGATTTCTTGCAACAATTAAAAACTACCATTGTCAGCAATAATGGTTATCGACGATGTTTATCGAATATGTAAACTGTAGAATCTCATACTACGGGTATTATAATTCTCTTCTGAAGGGAGGGAACATCGAGCTGGACTTACAGAAGCGGGGTGAAAAATTGGCCGTGCTGTGCTATCTTACCAGGATTCCATTATACCCAGAGAAGATGTAAGATATGCAAATCTATAAATTGTTAATTAGAACGTTATACAGAACCTTTGTAGCTGGCCTTTATCATATATGTGAATTATATATCGCTCTCCATAGATTTGCTTACATCGCTCCTCAAAAACTATGGGAAACTAAATTACTAATAATTTGAAAAAACACATTGTTACTAAACCTAAATTGTGAAAACACCACTACAGGCGTACTGCGATTCGCGATTGCGATTGGTGAAGATTTCAGTGCGGGCCAATCGCAACACCGAACGCGGTCACTGTCGCACTCGCACTAGGCCCCCAGATGAATGTTGATGAAAACAGATGAGTGAAGTCGTTCTTATTCATTGTTTATATTAGACGTGTTGTAACGATAATGTAAGAACATAATTGTTATGTGTAGATCTGCGGTAGTTGTATTCAAATAGACCATAGATATAGTATGTGAACTGTTGAATGAATTTTATCTTTTGCCATCACTGACAATAAATTTCGCATTCCATCTATCTCATTGCAAACTATTGCGTTTCTTGCTAAAATATTTATCGGCGTATATGTAATGTGAACAATCTTTTCTTCTCTCTTTCAATTGAAAAATATCTAAATATTAAAATATGAAAAAAAAAAACTATGTGCTAAAAATACTTTCGCGCGCCGTACTTGTATAAAAAGGTTTTTTTTAAACAAGAGATGCACAAAAATAATATTTTTAAACAATACCTACACAAAAAGGGCTTCATAAAACTATAGTATCCATTATATTTTGACCTGTCATGATACTAAGTCTATAAAAATGAAAGTTCAAGTTATACTGGTTAAAGCAATGAAAGTTGATTTTCAAAACTATCGAAATACGACGTAAATTAACCCCATGTCTCATAACTCGAATAATTTCTTTATCTTATCATAATAATTTATTATATGGGTGTTAAAAATCTCTGAATGTATAAAAAAAATCAGTATTTCGTTTCGAAAATCGTATTCAGGATGCTGATTTCACGAATACACGCCATATTTTCACGAATAGATATGAATTCATTCAATACAAATCAATATACTTAATTGGTGTTTTAGACGAATGTTGTAATAAAATCTTATTTACGTTTATTTGGTTTTATTGCTATACGATGTGACCTTATTACAAGCTGTTGCGAAAGTCAATACAAGTTTATCATAAATTATTTAAAGGGCAAGACCCGCCATTCGAGGCTTGATACGAAGCTACTTACGTTCTTAATGTATTCGTCTATTTATCTTTGAAATGTAGTGCGCAACAGATGTAGGTATATGAACAAATTTCTGTTAAAACACATTTGTCTTTAACTATGTATACAGGACTCAAGTGCAAAATATAAAACATCAAAGAAATAAATAATTGAGAGTATATAATGATAGTAAAAAAAATATCTTTATTCCTTCTTTGAAACACTACAGAGAGCTCACATTTATATTTACAGAGATTTTATCAGTTTACAAGTAGAAATATTTTCTGGGTACATTACCTTTATTCAGTTCGAAATCCATCAGACCTTTTTGAGTACTAAATTATTTATTTTCTTCTATTTTTACCTATATTAAATTAACTTTTAAATCATTGTTGAGGTATGCCAAGCATTCCTCACATGCTTAGCCTTTTCATTACATATGTCTAAAGGTGTTAATAGAATGGGTACGCGGTATCAATAAGTAGTACATTATCAGCTTTGAGCGTTTTAGTCTGAATACTGAAGTTTATGTTATTGTAGCGCAGTTTGCAGGGCCTGTCAGGTCGAGCCATAAAGCACAGTGTGTACAGCGCTGTCTCCAGCTCAGGTGATGTACCAACGAACATTGTAACTTCAGGTGCGTCTTTAGTTTCACTCAGGACCGAGTGCTGCTTGAGAATCATTCCTTTCTGTAAAGCCAAAGGTAACTATTGAAATGAAATTCAATCATTCGCTAATCGTGCTTACATTATTAATGTGATAGTAGCTTATCTATCTTTCTGTCTCTTTTAAACAGCCTAATGGTTCTCAATTAGTCAGAATATTCCATAGTTTATTACTTAATTTGTTTAAAAAAATCAAGAATTAATTAAAAATATTTAACGTGGTAAAGAATTATTCTACTAGTATAAATGTACATATAGCCTACGGCGGTAAGTCTGCCGCCAAATAAATGTATGAGAGTTCGTATACTATGTTAATTTTCAATATTAGCTATTGTTTTGCGAAAAGTCGCTTGAAGTGAATTTTTTTGAAAATTACTATATTATTTGGACAGATCTCGTAAGTTCTCTAGTAAATGCCTGTTGGTCTAGTGGTTAGTGACCCTGACTTCTAAGCCGGAGGTCGTGGGTTCGTTTCCACCAGAATAAATAATTGTGTGATGATCACGATGATTTGTTCTGTGTCTGGATGTAATTTATCTATGATAATGTATGTACTTAGAAATATATAAGTATGTTTATCAGTAGTCTGGCACAGGCTCTGCCTAGTTTGGAATATATGCCTAGTTATAATATAATAATAACTTCACACATCTGATGAGATGTGTGAAGTAATTATTATTTTTAAATGATGTGTCTACTTACACCGGATAGATCAAGTTTGTCGATGTAACCCAAATAATTGGCCTTGCGGTCTTGTTCCCTTTGAGCGAAGAACAGCCAACTGTGGAGGCCTGTGAATATAGTCAATTACACTTTTTACTTTGTGTTGTTCTGAGTGTAGGATCTGTTAATGTAGAGCATTATGACTATAAGCGGAGTACTTTTGTCCAGACAAACATGGAATGGTACTTTAACCAAATGAGTTTAGGTATAATTTGCTACTCTTTTTCTTAAGAGGTTAAATTATACGGATAAGGTTAGGAATTTACTATGTTTAAAATAGCACTTACCAAGCACATCGCTTGACTTAAGCTCAGCCATGAAGATGTTCTCAAAAGCGCAACTGCACTTGCAAAGGCCGGTCCAGTGACGCGCGTACTTAGTAAACCAGATCTTCTTCAGTAACTGCACTTGCTCAGGGTATTCGTTCAATTGTGTTACACCTATAAATCAAAAGAAATGGTTTCTTTTTAAGTTGATTATTGAAATATGTTTTGGTAGTTAACTTGTTAACGTTTCTTGTTAGTTTAAAATTATAATTTTTAATATATCCTGGCTAATATTAGGCCCCATAGAAAAGTATTTTACCTACATTTTTGTTTTATAGCACTCCGATAAATAGTTACTACTACAACACCTCCAACGCAAGTTTTTTTAAGTGTTCGTTCAAAGACTTAGGCTGAAATTTATAAAGCGTACTTAGACTTTGCTCAGACTTACCTCACGAGTTGTTACATTAAACATTTTAATACATATGTATGTATTTGGTTTCTGACATTTGGTTATTTGGTAAACATGCCGGTTAAGTCTGTGGGGAAGATTAGTAATAGGCGTTTGCAATTTTATTTACATTTATTAGATATTTGTTGCTCAGTTACAGTCTAATAGCTTATTCTACTAAGCTATTAGACTGTAATTGAGCAACTATTTGTACGCACAGGATATCTATCAAAAGCTCAAATACTTAAGATCTTTTGTAGATTGTAGGATTAAAATTATAAATAACTAATTCCATGTAAATATAATTTAATTTAAGTGCCCAAGTGAGATTCCGTATTTAAAAAAAGTCTGATCTTCAAAATATAATTCGTATTAATAGGTACTTATTAATTTTTTAAGTCAGAAGGCTCAGGCTTTCCGAAAACAACCAGTCACAGGTACCTATACTCGAGCTACTTTTACTCTACCCTATCCGTCCCTATACTCGTAAATGTCCTTCCTTTTCCATAATATACTCCCACATTTCACATCTTGAATTCCCAAAGTGCTCAGTTGTTCGCAATGGGTTGGTTTGTGAAGTGACTACATTATAAGTTGCAAAATGTGAGTGTTTAATACAACAACGTATGTAGTATTAATACTCAACCATTACCTAAACCACAATGCCTGATGAGTAGTTTCTCCCTCGATTTGATACCGTTTAGGCAAATGTTTTAAGACATTTTTCTTATTCCATAGTCAAGAAATTAAATCGCAAAAACGAGTTATTCTTACCTTTACTAACCAAGAAGTTCATAAGGCTTCTAATAGGACCAGTTGCGAGTATAGTGTTGATATAAGTAGTAAGTTCCGATTCCTCCTGCAACATGACGTCATCCGACATTAGTTTACCTTGTTCGCGCTGCAGGTGTCCACTTGTTTATGTTGGTAGGTACACATGCTTTGAATTGTTCAATTGTAGCGTATACTTACATTAGGCGTGACAAATTCTGGCCTTATTACATTTTTGTGGTAATTGTCGAAAAGAGCCACGAATGGCCTAATTGTAGGCCCGTTCCATACATTCTGGGGCACGTTCAGGAGACTGTAATAATTAAAACGTAGATACGAATTATAGGTAAATTTTCAATCTAACATATTTACCTACTTAAATTAAAAAAATCTGTATACGAAGTGTAATTAATTAATCTTCTTTTATGAATAGTTCTCAGAGTTCTGTCTGTCTAGGATCTTATATTTTATGATTTATACAATTATTTTAGTACGTATAGCTCATTACGTATGTAGATAATCACATGTATTGAGGAAAAATATACGAATAAAATTATGTTTTTAATTTGCTTTGCTTGTTCCTGGCAATATAACGTCTGACAATTGTCTTTTGCCAGATGTTGATAATGATAACATTTATGTACACGAAAGATTGCCGAGAACATACATAAATGATTTTAAATGAATAGCTGATTTATAGGAAGACCGTTAGGTAAATGGAATTAAAAGTAACAGTTAGAAAACATGTTATTCTACTCTTTAGCCTAACTTACTTAGATTGCGCCTCGTCGTTCTTCGACAAAGGACTGGTTTTGCCTTGCAGATTGACTTGGATGTAGTTGAAAGCGTTGTTTATATCCGCGTTAAACATTTCTTCACTAACACGCAGCAAGTCTTCATCCGTTGTACTATCTTGCACTTGACGCAGCATATCTTCGTAACTTTTCTTCTTAGCGTAGTCGACCACTCCACCCACTACAGAGCCTATCTGCTGCAGTGTGTTAGTAGCTGTGTTGCCCTGCTGACCAGTTACTTGATTGGAGATTAGGTTAGGCAAGATGCTGTTGAAGATTTGACCAGCGGCGTGTGCTAAGTCATCAGCACGACATACCGCAAAGCAAACGGAGAGTAATAAAACAATTTTCATTTTGAATATGATTTGAATACGTGGTGTCCAGCGCGATCACTGCGCACTAGTGAATAGAATAGTGATCTCCGAGTTCAGTGGGAGTAGGCGATACTGTGCGACCTTTGAATGATGTCATGCCCAACTGTGTACAGATACGGCATGTTGTTTATATTCAAACGGCGGATTTGCTGTTTTTTTGCCAACAACGCTGATTCTGCTGAACGTAATTTGAGATATGAGCAGGTTATTGTCTCCAACCAAAACAATATTGACCTTTATTGATGCATATTGCATTTGTAATTTGTACTTACTTAGGTATATTTAAATTAGTAGCACTTATGTCTATGTAACTGCTAATAGACACATATTTAATAAAGGATATCGTAGGGAGGTAATTAAATTTAGTTACGAAACTTTTCACTCTCTTCAAAATACTTCTACCACATAAAAGAACGATTAAAGCGTGTGGTGAAGCACAGCTTGATTCTCTAAATATATTGGAGTGAAAACCTACTTGTTTATACGGTATTTCTACTAAAGAAATTAACCTATTAAAGTTCATTTCATTAGTGGAAATACCGTTGCTATATTTTTTTCGTGTCCTTCTTTTTATTTTCTTTTAACAGTATATTACGGATTCTTAATTAGATTTAAGAGGTTTTAATAAATTTGAAAAAGTAAAATGTTAATTTAAACTACAAATACTAAACTTGTTTACAAAATTAGTACTTATATTCGTGTTAAATAAATATAAGAATTGGCGTTGTATGTCAGATGTCCGAAATATTATTATTAATTGATTATTATGAGTGAACAAATGTAGTCCACATTTGTTCACTAGCCCAAAAATAAAAATGTCAATATCATTTTTAAAGTTTACACAAGCAGGCAGTGGCATAGTTGTTTATAATCCTGTTGATATACCTACATATGATATTTTTGTAAATATATATATATATATATATATATACAGGGTAACTGGGTAAGTCGACCTAAATACTTTAAGAGGTTGTAGACACCATCATTTCTGATAGATTTCACTATGAAATACCATATCCCAAAAATAATAATTTTCAAGATAGGTATTGGTCTTTTAATATTTTTAAAAAAGTCTTAACACCCCCGGTCTTTCATCTAAGTTTTTTTATGAATTCTGATACTATCCTAGACGTTCATGTTTTTGAACAAATCTGCAGTTAAACTGTCATATATTTCTTTATAATATTAAAAAAAAAAAACTATTATTAACCATCTACTTCGGCCCAGTTAACAAGTTAACTACAATTTTAGTCATTGAAATTATAAAACGATTTATCAACTACACAAAACCAGTAAAAAAAATCATAAAATTAATTTCGGCGTTTTTTATAAAAAATCTTAAAAGTTCAATATCTTAAAAATGGTTATTTTTAGGATATGCTATTTAATAGTGAAATCTGTCAGAAATGATTTCAACTATAGTTAAACCGCCGTAAGCTTGGCCCTCCTGATGGTTTGGGGGACGCGGGGCGGGGGTGCATTCAACCAATTAGCTAGTGCGTCGCTGTCCTCCGGCAGTGACTGACATGAAAGCATGGCTGTACGTGTTATTTTTCTTAAGACTGCTACACACGGTATTATTTTGCAACATGGATAATCTGCCGACTCTGCGTCACAAAAAGATTTAAAAACTTGAAGTTCGGCTTACAGAGGTTCTACTGTTAAAGTTATAATAAAGAATATTTATTATTTTACTTAATTTTTAAATTGTTTCTGAATATAATTTCCATGATGAAGATAAGGTGATTTTATTAAAATTATTTTACAGTATTAAATTTTACAATTAATCATAAAAACTTACAATACACTGACATTATAATACATGGAAATAAATTCGATTTTTATTACATCGTGTGTAGATTAAATCTCAAACAAATAAATCTGAAGATATCGAGTTAGTACATCGTGTCATGTATAGCCGAGCGCGTCACCCGCCCTGCGTCCCGCAAACCATCAGGAGGGCCAAGCTTAAGGCGGTTTAACTATACAATCCCTTAAAGTATTTAGGTCGACTTACCCAGTAACCCAGTTACCTGAAACTTTATTTCTATCCGAAAAATCGGTAATTAAATTGTGGAGGGTGCAAGGCTATAAAGGGAATATAAATTAATAAAGCTAAAATAGTAGGTAATTATTGCGTAGACTTAGTAATCTGATGATCTGAATCTGATATGATATACCATCAGAAAACAATTGAAACCATTACTGACTCAACATATCATTTTGAACGGTTGCTATGTACTGTTTTTTAGAAGAACCATAAAAGTATTCAAACGCGACCGGACGAGAGCCTAATGCATTAAACATGGAGTAAGATATGATTTTTCCGCTGCGCGGGCGCATATCACGCTACTGCTGCATTTCGCGTGCGCACTCGGCCGCGGCGAAGTGCCGCTGATAATGTCTCCTTACTGATGACTTTCTTTTATTTGTGGTCTATAAATACACCGCCAATAGAAACATCCTGAATGATCATCTCCAGAGCAATCAACTGAGCCAGATTACATTGTTACTGCTACAGATTACGGCCTTCTTCTTGATTTTTATATACGGAATAAAGATGATAATAGAGATTATGTAACAAAACGGCTCTAGTTTGAGCACGATTCAATACCGACCTCTTAACCTATTTCTGAATTATTCTGAATACTACTGAAGCACATTATAAAAATTGAAAAACTTATTTTCTATATTAAATAAATAAATAATAACTAGAGATACAACACACATGACCGTCTGATCCAAACCAGTTGGATTTATAGTGTTTCATCTATGCAAACCAGTCAGAGCCTATGCTATGGTAACCAGACTACTGTTAGGTTAAAAATTAGGTTGATAACTATGGAAAATATCTGTCAAGAATTAGTTCTAACAGTTACGAAAATTGTGTTCCCGTTGGGAAAACTGATAAAGAAGTCTTCGTAAATACATTAAATGCCATTCGACGCGGTAAATTTGGCGATTCCAACAATGTGTAAGTACTAAAATAATAAATTTTTGTTTAATAATAATAACTTTATACGTGTCACACACGGCCGTCTGATCTCAAATTTGGAAGAGCCTACTATGGTAATAAACATACTTAAATAATTAATATTATTTCTATATACATATAGATAAATAACACACAGAAACAGAACAAATTAATGTTAGTAGGTTTGTTTGTTCAGTTGTTAATATTATGTTCATATACTTATGTAGATATTCAAAACCTAGTATTACTAAATACCTATCGTGGAAGAGCTTCGGCACATAATGGGCCGGTTCGACCGGAGTGATTCCGCGCGCAATGCTTTGCACTGATAAATGAGGTTACAGAAGACCTAACCCTAGGCGTCACTTAGCTTGGATGGATGATCACATTGGATGGGGCGCAGTGGTCTCTTTCTGTGAAGCTGTAATGCTCCAGAAAGAGACCGCTGAACGGGATGAGGAGCGAGCCGATCCCGAACGTAGAGGACGTCGGCGACGATACTAGCCGTCGACGGGGCCGCGGGCCGCCAGAAATTGGGGACCTCTGGTGGCAGATTGATTGCTGCGGTAGGGGATAGAATGGCAGCCTGATTGCATTACGATGCAATCGGGCCGCCATGCCGCGATTCAGGGAGGAAGTGTTTTCCCCTTGGATAGGGTCTGATACGGCGGTGTCAATTCGGGTAGGACCTGAAATAACATGGTCCGGGTCCTCCGAGAGTAGGACACCTGAGGCGGGCCGTCGGGGTGGTTTTTAGTGGAATTACCACATACTCCTGGCTTCCGAGTCCCCGAGGAGCAGAAGATCCGAAGGGATTTTCCACCCATAAACAAAAAAAAAGGGGGCCACAAAGTAAACACCTAATGGCCTGAAATCTGCAGCAGCATCCAGGCATGCGCTTTAACCGGCAATTTTAGTGGCTTGTATGCGGGCATAGGAATAGCGATGGGTCGCTTTTCCCAAAAAGACGACACTACTGAAAGAGGTTGACGGAACTGTCATCGCAGAAGACAACCGGCAGCTATTATGCTGGGTAGAGCATTACACCCAGATCTACTCTGAACCTGTAAACATTCATCAAGAGGCAATAGATAGACTCCCTATATTGCCAACTTGGGACGAACTTGATGCCACCATCAGTTGCAGAATTAGACACAGTAGTCCAATTCAGCAAGAGTCCGGGTGACGATGGTATCACGGCTGAGGTGTTAAGATTAAAATGCGTTGCACCTGTCTTGTACAATCTTTTTGTAAAATGCTGGACTGAGGGTTTTGTGCTTCGGGATATGCGCGATGCTAACATCATGACATGATACAAAGGGAAAAGATTGCAATTTTTATCGTGGCATATCCAATTTAAGCATCTTACGTAAGTTGGTCGGCCGTATTTTCTTGTCGAAACTTCACAAATTTGCATATCGTGTATGATCGTGAGTCTCATGTGGGTAGACACCGTTGTATGTAGCATTTGTCGACCTGAATAAAGCATTCGACTCTGTCAGTAGAGAGGGGTTATATACAGGGCTGGAAAAAAATGGGTTTTAAGGCTTAAACCCAAGCTTTTAAGGCTTATTAGTTGTTTTCATGATGACATGAAAGGCAGAGTTGTTTACAATGGTGTAACTTCGGGCAGCGTTGAAGTGAATGGAGGGGTGCGGCAGGGCTGTGTTTTGGCACCAACTCTTTTTGGGATTTTCTTCGCTGTCCTTTTAAGAGTGGCATTTGGTGAAATTGAACAGGGCTTCCACTTATATACCAGGGTTGACAGCTAACTGTTTATATCTCATTATTGCAGTCTAAACGCCAAAGCATTTATTTGTCTCCTGTTTGTTGACGATGCGGCTTTCGTGGCCGGCTCTTCCGAACAACTTCACTTTATGATCCACAAGTTTGAAAAGGCATGTAGGCTGTTCTCAATGTCCATAAATGCTAAAAAGACTGTCATCATTGCACAAGGATGTGCAGAGGAGCCAACGATTCTGTTGAATAATACACCCCATTTTTA